CACCCTAACATCAGTATGCATATTCTCCATACTGTTCTCTAAATATTTCCTAAGATGCCAAAATGGAGAATTTGCTTAACAATCAAGATCTTCTCTAGTGAGTGATCAGCTCCTTTATTCTCCTGACCTTAATGTTTGATTCAGGGGTGATGTGGTGAGGAGAAATTAGATGCCAGTCACTCTTAAGGATTAAAGGGTTAAGACCCCAAACCAATTACAGCTGCTGTTTGCAGTTTAGCTTCCTCACACCAGTTTAGCATTTGGTGTTTATAGTTTTTTCTGAGTTTTGCAGCAAGTTGTTTGTGCAATAAATTATTGAAGTCATAAATCTCCTTTGAAGCAATTTACAATTTCTTTAACTACCCATTCTAAAGCTTAAATTGTGAAAATGACCTTAGAAATATACAGATAATTATGTAAAATGACAAGCATTGCAAGTCAGTTATGTGCAACAAATGTCTTACAATGCAGCAGTGTATTTTACTGTATTCTAAAAAATTACTGAAACTAAAATTAATTTAGAATTGGCTATTAAACAGTATGTATGCATTTAATAAGTAGCTTTAAAGCAAGCATCACAGCTAAATGAACAGTAATGATACACAGTTATGAATATCATCACTGAAAAGTCATTCTTCTTTTTTCCCCTCTGTCCCATACAATGCTTTCACAAATTGGTGTCCAACAATGCAAAATATTTTTCCAATTAAAAATATCAACAATGGTTGATGACAGCAGGCTATGATTCGATAATATGGTCCACTGAATGGGTCGCTAACAGCTGGACAAACCATGTTATTCAGGTTTATATGAAGGATCTGTAAAATAACATGGATAATTTCATTACCATGGTTACTGTCGTTGCTAAAATTTTTTTCACACCTATTGTATATTTTGAAGATGGTTCAGAACAGAACACATCTCACCACTTTGCTCTGATAATCATCTTTAGTGAGACTAAAAATCAAAAATTATTTTGATGTAATCTGCAATTAATCAATATATTGCCATCCTGCAGAAAGGGGATCACTCCAATCAACAGTTTGGTGACTATGAGTGTCAGTCTTGTATTCAGACTTACCCCTTT